GGTACAACCACTTTGGAAATTGATTTGGTGCTTCCTTAAAAAGCTAGAAATAGAAGTACCATATGATCCAGCAATCCCACTGCTTGAATATAACCTAGAGAAATAAGAGCCATCACACATGAATAGATATATGCACACCCATGTTCATTGCAGCACTGTTCACGATAGCAAAAAGAGACAACCTAGGGGCCCATCAACGGACAAATGGATAAACAAATTATTGTATATTCACACAATGGAATACTACACAACATTAAAGAACAACAATGAATCCTTGTAATATAACGTATGAATCTGGAAGGCATTAGTCACAAAAGGACAAATACTGTATGAGACCACTATTATAAGAACTCAAGAAAAGGTTTAAACACAGAAGAAAACATTCTTTGATGGTTATGAGAGTGGGGAGGGAAGGAGAGGGGTATTCACTAACTAGATAGTAGACAAGAATTAGGTGAAGGGAAGGACAACACACGATACAGGGGAAGTCAGCAAAACTGGACTAAACCAAAAGCTAAGAAGTTTCCTGTATACAACCAAACACTTTGAGGGACAAAGTAGCAGGGGCACGGGTCTGGGGACCATGTTTTCAGGTGACATCTAGGTCAATTGGCATAACAAAGTTTATTAAGAAAATGTTCTGCATCCCACTTTCATGAGTGGCGTCTGGGGTCTTAAAAGCTAGTGAGCAGCCATCTAAGATACACCAATTGGTCCCAACCCACCTGGAGGAAAGGAGAATGAAAAACACCAAAGACACAAGGAAAATATTAGCCCAAGAGACAGAAAGGGCCACATAAATCAGAGACTCCATCAGCCTGAGACTAGAAGAACTAGATGGTGCCCAGCTACCACCCTGACAGGAAACACAACAGAGAGTCCCTGTTGGAGCACGAGAAACGTGGGGTGCGGAACTCAAATTCTAGTAAAAAGACCAGACTTAATGGTCCAACTGAGACTGGAGGAACCCCGAAAGACATGGCCCCCAGACTCTGTTAACCCAGAACTAAAACCATTCCCGAAGCCAGCTCTTCAGACAAAGATTAGACTGGACTATAAGACATAAAATGATACTCCTGAAGAATGTTCTTCTCAGCTCACGTCGATAAGTGAGACTAAAGATCCAGCTCCTGTCTAGATGCGAGATGAAAAGGCAGAAAGGGACAGGAGCTGGCTGAATGGACAGGAGAAATCCAGGGTGGAAAGGAGGAGTGTGCTGTCACATTATAGGGAGAGCAGCTGGGGTCACATAACGATGTGTGTATACATTTTTGTATGAGAAACTAACTTGAACTGAACTTTCACTTAAAGCACAATTAAAAAAAAAAAGTATGAAACCATCAAGTTGTTTACAGCTTATCCAGGAAATGTAACAAACCCTCTGGGGTGGAAAACTAGGGCAAAGGTAACTCCTCAGGGCTTAGGGAAAAATCTCTCGAGCTATTTTTCCAAATAACCAAGGCAAAAAGCCACATAAAGTAACTCATTTCACCACAAACACATATTTTTAGGGGGCACAATTCAGTCTATAACAACAATAAAAATGAAATATAGAATACTTAATTTCAAATTTCTATCAAGTACACAAAACAATATAAAACATTAGCAATTTTAATGTACTGGGATGGTATAGTCTTTCTGAGGAGATACAGAATCGTTAAATGGAGTTTATTCTACCAAGGGAAAGATGACTCCATTATGTGATAAGTGGTATAGGGTTATTATTTAAAACCTTAAACAAACTGAATTCACATATTGGGGAATTTAAAAAAATGATACCTAGATAGAGGTTTAACATAATTCTAAACATTAAAATACTGTGAATTAATGTATCAGAATTTATTCTCAGGTAGCGAATGCACAACTTCCAGAGAAGATACAGCTGCAGTTATGGTAGGATGTGAATGTTTAACAACATAAAAATAACAGAATATACACCTTTTTGTAAAACAGATATTAGAAGTAAAAGATTAGAGCTGATCTATGAGAAAATATTACCATCATATATGATTTTTAAGGGATTACAATATACAATAATCTCTACAATTGAAAGCTTATTTTTTAAAGTATACAAAACTTTACTTAAACAGAATGCAGATGAACCTCAGTAAATAATCTTGCTGAATCTTACAGGAAATAGGAAAAATAAAAAAAAGTCACTTTTATCCTTCGGGCAAAATTACAATGAGTGGTTATAAATAAAGAGTACTGGTGAGACCATGGGGGCAAAGACACATTGCTGATAGCATGAATATTGGTTCGCCTTTGGGGAAGGACTCCTTGTCAGCATCTGTCAACATGTTAAATGCATTCACCTTTTTTACCCAGAGTTACAGGCCACATTGTCTAACTTGGAGAAATAAACACTTGCAAAAGTTGAGTTGTCTGAAAATAGTCATTGGAGCATTCTCTATATGGCTTAGATAAGTGAAAATAACCTACATGTCACCAATAGGAGAATGCTTCTACAAGGATTTTGAAATACGTACTAAATCTATATCTACCAACAAAAAATATCTCCAGTATATATTGTTTATATGATGAAAAAAGCTGTAGAATATTACATATAATATGTACATAAAATGAAATGCATAAATTTAACTAGGTATCTATGGTCCATTTCTAGAACAAATTGCAAGGATACAGTCAGAACCAATAGTAGTGTTTATTTCCAGAGAGGGAGGGATCATTACTGGGGCTCATGAAAGTGAAGAAAATATTCTATTTCTCACTAGGTTATTCAGAAGTATTTGAAATTTTATCCTAATACAAATATATAATAAAATACAAAATAAAATAAATATTATTCTTGGTACTAGTGTGTGGAACCAGAATATAAACTACATTGTTCTGATTATAAAGCCAAAGTTCTATGCTAGTTCTCATTTATATTGTGAACATTTTTTAAAATAGATTTTGATTTTTAGACTTACAGAAAAATTATGCACAAAGTACAGAGAGATCTCACAGTCTCTCCCCCTGCAACCAAGCCATCAAGCTTACAAAACATCTCAAAATGTAAGACTTTATAAATAGACGTGAAAACACTTTTTATCCAAAACACCTTGAACGCATCCTTACTAAGAGAGGTTTTCCACATCTAGGGAGTTGAGAAAAATACCTCATGATGCTCCTTAGAAGTAAGGATGGCGACACTATGTCTCACATACTTTAGACATGTTATCAGGAAGGATCAGTCCCTGGAGAAGGACTCCATACTCAGTAGAGGGTCAGCGAAAAAGAGGGACACTCAAGGGGATGGATTGACACAGTGGCTGCAACAATGGGCTCAAGCATAACAACGATTGTGAGGATGGTGCAGGCAGTGTTTTCCTTTTGTTGTACATAGGGTCGCTATGAGTCAGAACTGACTCAAAGGCACCTAAAAACACCAACATAGTAGATGTTAACAGATTATGTCTTAAAAATTTGTGAGGGTAGAAATGAGCCTATTGGAAACTTATTAATCTAAGTTTACTTTCTTTAGGGTTCATATAAAGAATACCAAAACCAAACTCATTGCCATTGAGTTGATTCCGACTCATAGTAACCCTACAGAACAGAGTAGAACTGCCCCATAGGGTTTCCAAGGAGTGGCTGGTGGATTCGAACTGCTGACCTTTTGGTTAGCAGCAGAACACTACCAGGGCTCATATAAAGAATAGACCTCCTTAAAAATGCCCTTAGAAATATTGTAAAATTAATTAGTATTTTGTGAAAATGAATCCAAATGCGTTTTCCAGGCTTTGTCAGCCCCACCTAAGTGAATATTCCCAAAATAAAAAAATGAATAACATAGGTAAAATATATAACAATTTTTAAATAAAATACTCTTTGAGGTTACTCTCGAAATAAATGTTAAGTGCATTTGTAATTACATTATATTTAGAAATCAAAGATTTAAGCAAAATTTGATATCACCAAAGTTTGTCTCAAAAGTCATTGAGATTATCATTCATCTCACGTGTGGAAGATTAAGTATAAAGAAGAACAACCCAATTTATATCTGTTTTTTAAAGTTATTATTTCTTCTGCAAAGGTTGATGACCTAAATTATCACATGCGTGAGTCCTCCATGCCCCATCCCCAGGTCAGGCCCTAGTAAAGACTCAGGAACTGAGCACAGGGTTGGTTTCTCTGCCTCTTTGGTGCATGACGGATAGAAATGAAAATGATGCTCTGAGGGGCGTCAGGATGGAATCGCACATTCGCGCAGGCACAGTTCTACATTTCCTTTTGTCTTTGCTTCCCCTACACAACTGCAAACCTGTTGCCGTCCAATCAATTCCAACTCATAGCGCCCCTATATGACAGACCAGAACTGCCCCTATAGGGTTTCCAAGAAGCCGCTGGTGGATTTGAATTGCCAACCCTTTGTTAGCGGCCGAGCTCTTAACCACTGCACCACCAGGGCCCCACAGACAACCCCAGCCCCTCTTAATTAAATAGCTTAAATAAAATTCTCACGGCAGGAGACTTTCCTGGATCCAAACCCCACCACACACAAGACTTCCCCCCACCCAGTCTCAGCGCCCTAAGTAGCTTCTGCCTCACTACGACCCACTCGCAAATAATACCTTTCGACTCAATAATCAGTTTTCAGCTTGTTAGGAAAACATCGCAGCTGCTAGTGTAAGTGTTCCACACAACTCCAAGCTTTTACCTTAAACTGCCTGAAACACTAAAAAAAATAAGCAGAGAGCAAGCCTTCTCCATAGGAAACCAAACAGATTCAAGGGTTTCCACGTTCCAAGGTACCCAGGAATACAAATCTGGCGATCTGCTCCCCAGACATTTCGGCCATAAACCTTACAGAGCCGTTGTCTGCAGCACACGGGGGCGCTTGAGTGAGACTGCATTGATTGGCAACGTTCCTTTGTTTTGGTTCATGGTGTCCGGCTCCGCCCAGGCGCTGCTCACTCCCGAACACGTCGCCAGCGCCCGTGCGCATGTGCAGTTGCTTCCAGACGCGGAAGCTTACGGACAGAGACAGTACCAGCAGGTGAGTGAGTTTCCGACTTTGTAGTTTTAATCTGCCCCGGTCCTGTACACACGTTCTCGGGGGTTGCTCCTGACGTTAAAGTCCCCGCACCCGCCCTTCCTACCCCCGGGGATCCCGGCGCGGCCATGAGACGTTCCGAGCCCTCGGGCTCCGCCGCCGGCCAGGCATCCGCATCCTTTTCGGTGTAAGATCGCTCTGAGTTGGGTCCCAGTCTTGGCCTTTCTGCCCTCTGGCCGTGCAGACGCCTTTCTCTGTCATCTATCGCGGGGCTTTAAATACCTTGACCTCTTCCAGTTTCACCTCTCCAGCTTGACCTCTGCCGTGTACTCCGGACTCATGTGCCCAGCTGGCTCCTCGACGTCTCTGCTGGCGCCTCTTACAGGCATCTCCACCTTAAACCGTGGAACACTGACCTCATGAGCTTCCCTAAAGGTGTCCAGGGCTCCGTGAAGAGCGGCCCTGAACATCCCGGGGCTCAGGTGAACATCTCGGTAAGCTTTTAAACTGTACGAGATACTACATCATTTGTAAATGTTTTAACTTATGAAAAAATAAAGAAAAAACAAAATAGGTGTGAGCTTAAAATGGATCAGGGAATATATGGTTTCTGAAATTGTTTGGGGTGTGAGTGGAAAATGTGTGAAGACCCTGGCCCTTCCTAATCTGCTTCCTCAGGACCCCTCTGACCTCATATCCTTGTTTCTGCCTTCCTCAGTGTGCTAAGCCACACACTCTTCGCTTTCTGAGGTCAAAATCCCTACTGTCCCACAATCTGCACATGGATGGTTCCTCTTCCTTGAACTCTGACCCCTCACATGCATCTAGCAAACACCCTTCTTTCCTCAGCTCTTTGTTCTGATACCACCTTCCCAGGGCAACTTCTCCAGCCCCCATTTAAGGTTCCAGCCACCCCCTCACCCCCACCCCCTGGCCCATAATTCCTGCTCTGCATGTTTCTCTCTGCTCCTGCCCCTTTCACTGTCGGGATACAGGTGTTAGTTAAGGCTTGTGTGCAGAGCAGAGCCACAGGTGGGAGGTGTGCTGGCCTTGCCTCCTCTGTGCAGGCTCAGCCCTGGCTTCACACTGGATTGATAAGCCATTTTGCAAACACATCACTTGTGCCCCTCCCCAGAGATTGCCCTTCTGATAGTTGGGGTGGGGCCCAGGCTCAAGAATGGTTAAAGTGTCCCGGGTGATTGTAGCATTGAGCACAAGGCTCTGGGTCCCTGTTTTTTGAAGACTGAGACCAGTGTGCAGTCCAGGGGGAGGTGAGGGGCCTCTGTTCTGCATGAGGTGTGTCAGGGCTGGTCTGTGACCTGAAGAGGAGGGTCATTCCAGCCCAGATCCCTCTGCTGCTGCGGAGTGTGGGCTTCACCAGGAGGGAAGGGTGATAAACTCACCTGTTGGTCTCTATGTAGGAGGTTATTGTCCATAAGTCCCTCCTGGTGCAGTGGGCAGCAGGGACTGTCTTATCCCATGATGAGGTCCTCCCTGTGTGTGTGGTTGTGGCACAGGAAGGGGGTGTGTTCATTCTAAGCTTTTAACAGCATATTTTCCACACTCAGGATTGACTTCTCAAGATCGATCTTGCCTGAGAACAAAGCCCAGAAGAAGAGGAAAGAAAGAGGCATCCAGAATGGCTCTTTCCCAGGTAACAGTCATATTCCTGGTTAGTGGCTCTGTCCTCTCCTTCCTCAAATGCTGTCCTGACAATTTGCTCATCTCCTCTGACTCTGACATATCCTGCCTGACACATTGGCTCACACTCACCCAGGGCCTGACCTCAGTCCCCGCTCACCTCCACACAGATTCCATCTTACCATGACCAGTGACATGGGACTTGTGAAGAGGCTACATTTGGGGCACATCATGGGAAGGGCTTCACACCAGGTCTGGGTGGGAGACAGGGAGTGGACCCCATGGGGTCAGTGAGAGTGAGCAGCAGGGAGGGTTTAGGGGCCACATGTGGAGGCCCTGTCAGCTCTGTATGGACCAGCATTAAAGCAAACCAAACCAAACCAAACCTGTTGCCATGGAATTGATTCTGACTCGTAGTGACCCTGTAGGACCGAGTAGAACTGCCCCATAGGCTTTCCTAGGCTGTAATCTTTAAGGGAGCAGATCACCATGTCTTTCTCCAGCTTAGCGGCTGGTGGGTTTGAACCAATGACCTTTTGGTTCGCAGCCAAGCACTTAACCACTGCACCACCAGGACTCCTTAGCATTAAAGCTACTGCACATTTATGTGCCATGTTAATGGGTAGGACCAGCCGGAAAATTGTGGAAAAGGAGTCTAATAAAGGGAAAACTCACTCTACCTAATTTTATAATGCATTTGAAGCTAAGCAAGTGAATCAGTGTGTGTTTCTGGTTCCAAAATATTGATGATTTGGAGTGGAATGGAAAGTTCAGTAATAGATATCAGTGATAGAGGATATTTTTGGTGCAGTGGGTTCTCTTATGTGCCTTTTTGCCCTGAATTTGTGGAAACAAAATTTGGTAGGGGATTTCCTGAGTGGATGGGCATTTCCTGCATAAGCTGTAAACTTGATGGTTTGTTACTGGTTTGTTTGCCCTGGCTATTGACAAGCCTGAGTTGATCTACATTTCTTGGGTAATCAAAGAATGGTTGGGTTCCGAGCCTGCTAAGGTGATTGGTTGGGCTTCAATTGGGCAGATTTTTATTGACATCCCACATGTTCCTTTTGAGTGTGGATTGCCCTGCATTTCTGCAGTCAAGGTCTCTCAGTTACCACGTTCCAATAGGAATTGTGTTGATCAGTATTTAATCATGTCTTTGTTATGTCCTTCGGTAAACCTCATTGCCGTTGAGTCGATTCCAACTGATAGTGACCCAACAGGACAGAGCGGATAGTGGTTAAGAGCTATGGCTGCTAACAAAGGTCGGCAGTTCGAATCCACCAGGCGCTCCTTGGAAGCCCTATGGGGCAGTTCTCCTCTGTCCTGTAGGGTCGCTATGAGTCGGAATTGACTCGATGGCAATGGCTTTTTTTTTTTTTTTTAATAGTACAGAATAGAAGTGCCCCCATGGGACTTCCAAGGCTGTAATTTTTACGGAAGTAGATTGCCTGATCTTTCTCCCTCAGAGCAGCTGGTGGATTCGAACTGCCAACCTTTCAGTTAGCAACCGAGTGTTTTAACCACTTTGATACCAGGGCTTCTGTGTCCTTCAGTAAAATTTTATACTTTCTTCACATAGTTCTGGAAAGATCTTGTGTGCAGATGTGACGGTATATTTGCTAATGGAAACCCTAGCTGTTTCTGGAGTTTTTATGAGTGTGAATTGTTTTTTAACTAGTTCCACTAAAGAGTAGAGGAGCCCTGGTGGCACAGTGGTTAAGCTCTCAGCTGTTAACCGAAAGGTGCTCTGTGGGAGAAAGACAAGGCAGGCTGCTTTCGTAAAAATTACAGCCTTGGAAATTCTATGAGGCGGTTATACTCTGTCCTATAGGGTCACTGAGTCAGAATTGACTTAGTGGCAATGGGTTTAGGGTATTTGTTCGTTTGTTTTTGTTTTTTACTAAAGAGAAAAGATTGTTTTCAGTATATTGTTATTACCGGTAATCCTTATGATTAAAATACATTCTTTTAAGGTTGCAGTCATGTTGTCTGTGAATAATAATAACAGTTCCAGCTCTTTGTCTTTTTTTTCCCTCTCCTTTTCCCACATCCCTTAGTCCCAGCTCAGGCTTTGCATGCAGTAAGAAATGGCAGGAGTCCTGGCAGGGCCCTGTCTCTGCCTTACCTTCAGTGGAAATGTTTCCAGTGTTTTCTGCTGATCATGATGTTTGCTGAAATTTTCTTGCTTAGTAACAGGGTTTTTTTTTTTTTTTTTTTCCTATTTGGCATGATTTTTAATTATCCAATAATTTCTTCAAGGATCAGCTGCTGGGATAACTATTTTTTCTATTTTAGTTCCTTATATTAATGTATAACTTCAATAAAGTTTCTAACCTGGAATCATTTTTTTAATTAGTAGAATAAACTATATTTGTTTCTTTTAGTGCCTCCAATATCTACATTGAAATGAATAAAATTGTATTTATATTTTTGCATATATGTATTCAATTAGGATTTGAGTTCAAGTTTTCTTTATTTGTTTTCATTTTTGTAGAGTATTTTTAATAGCCTAAGATAAAATAAGGAACCCTAGTGGCGCAGTGGTTAAGAGGTCAGCTGCTAACCAGAAGGTCAGCAGTTTGAATCCACTAGCCACTCCTTAGAAACCCTATGAAGCACTTCTGCCCTGTCCTATAGGGTTGCTATGAGTTGGAATTGACTCGACAGCAACTGATGTACATATCTATATATATACAAATATGTGTATATATGTGATAAAATATTGTTCGCAGACTAACTTAAGTATCATTTATACATTTTCTTTGCACCAGAAATGCTGAAATATGCATGAACAAAAATGATAGATGATAAAAATTCATCCAGAAGATGTTATTCACAGACAACTCTTATGATTTGTGTGTGTGTATGTGTGTGTACGTGCATGTATATATAAGCCTGTGCTTTTTTAAAAAGACACATCATTTAATAAGGAGTTTTTATTTTCAACACTTAAATATATGTCTTAACTCTTTTCCATGGTCTTAAATTTTTTCTACAGTATGTTAGTAGGTTAACAGTACAAAGAATATTAATGGATTATATATTTGCATGTGTGTGCACGCATATATGATGACCTTTTATCCAGTGTTGTTACTGGCCTTGAACTTGTTTCACATTTTCTTTTTGGTGTTCCTCAGTCAACATCTTTTTAACGCTGTATCTGTTACTTAACTCTAGGAGTCTTTGAGTTCAATTCTCAAGCCTGACCACCTGGGTTCAGGTGCTCAGTCTACCACTTATTAGCTGTTTGAGCTGAAGCATGTTTTTTAGTCTCTCTGACACAATTCTCTCCTTTGTAAAGTGGGAACAGATCTATTTCTCATGGGTTATTGTGTTGTATAAGTTAGTCCACGTCAAGCCTGTACAATAATGGTTAGCATATGGTAATGTGTCCAACAGTTTTTAGTTGTTGCTATTACCATCATCTTCACAATATCTTGATTCTGACCTTTCTTTAAAGCCACAGTGGACTTTGTTGTTCCTGAACACACCACTCCTGCTCTCGCTCATCTGAAAAACTGAATGACACTTGGATGCAAAACAACATCTAGCTCTTCTACATAATGACCCTGTTGGAATTTTTTTTCATTTGTGTATTTCTTTTATTGTCCACAAAAATGAAATCCCCAGTGATTTAATGGATTTCATATCCTGTGATGGAAAAGTATAATAAAACAAAATTGTTGTTGTTAGCTGCTGTTGAGTTGGCCCCCTCATGGCGACCCCATGCACAATGGAATGAAACCCTGGTGGATCAGACTATTGTGATTTCAGGGTTTTCCTTGGCTGATTGTTGGAAGGAAATTGGCCAGGCCTTTCTTCCTAAAACAAAATTTAGGACATAAAACTTGCTCAACATTGTCTTATATGGATCTGTCAGAATGCTCACATCAACCTAATTGATCCTTAGACCCCTCTTTCATTCTGCCTGAAAAGAATTAACTCTCCCATGTCCACATCTTGAGATGTGTTTTTCATTACAGGAACTGTTGACGTTCAGGGATGTGGCCATAGAATTCTCTCAGGAGGAGTGGGAATGCCTGGCCCCTGCTCAGAGGACTTTGTACTGGGATGTGATGTTGGAGAACTACAGCAACCTGGTTTCCCTCGGTGAGCATAACTTCTTTCCAGAAGTCAGGATCTGCCCTTGTGTATTTCGGATTTTGCCATGTGCATAACTTGGAGGCCACTGCCATGCTTGATGGACTTTGAAATCTCTGTTCTTATGGTAGAGATTGAAGTTGATTCAGAAGTGAAAAGCTTCACGGTGCAGCATCTGATCTTTAGTCTTCCCCTTTCTCCCTATAATCTACATGCTTCACACTAGAGTAGTGCTGGTTCCAGAGCTTTTGTAAGCACAAAACCATATGGCTGAACTTTAAAAGTCTCTGACTTTACTCCTGAGTTTTTGAGTCAGTAGTTATTGGAAGAGATCTATATAGCTGCATATTTAAAACATTCCCTAAGCTTTCCAAAGGAAGCTTAGGTCAGTGGATGAATTTGTGAAATATTTTTGTGGCAACATCTGTGATGTTCTCAGCTTAACAAACGGCTTGAACTGTATTCTAGAAAAGCTGCAGCACATCATGTTTCTTTTTTCTTATAAGCAGAAGTCTCTCTTTCTGAGATGAATATTATCTCCATTTTGAAGAAAGGAACAGAGCCCTGGACTGTGGAGAACAAGATGAAAATAGCAAAAAATCCAGGTATGTGGGAATGTATGAAGATGAGAACATAGGTAAGAACTCAGGTGGGTAGAGAGGAACCCATAACATTAAATATTGTCTGGGAAACTACCCACATGGGAAAACAAGTTTGTTTATTGTGAACTCTCAACAGAAATGTTTCTTCCTCCACCTCCCCCTACCCCCACTGTTTATCACTCTCTTTAGATGTGTAAAAGTTCCTCCTCGCCTTTTTCCAGTGGTGTTCCAGGTCAATCAGAGACAAAGGCAAAGTCTTTGTTATGACCCATGGCATACCATTATCTGGTCCTTGTGAGCTCTTTGGTGCCATGGCTTTGAGAGGGACGGGGAAGACTGTTTCAAAGTGTCATCTTGCCCCCGTGGCCTCTCCTTCTGTACTTGATTCTGTCTGATCCTCAGTTCTCAGTTATACAGGTCAGGATGAGGCCTCTGTTGTCCTGACCCAAGGACTTATCCAAGTTCCATTCTCATTCCATGTGCTTGGGAGACCTCCTCATGAGACAGGAAAATACTGGTGGCTTTTCCATTGCATCTGGGGCCCCAGCAAATTGCATGGGGCTGTCTTAAGCCGTCTCTGTCTGTTTAGGCCTCTCATCTATTTCTTCAGTTCTGCTTTTACATACTTCAGGGGTGTATGTGCAAGGTGTGGAATCGCCTTATGTGGCCTTTGTTTTCAGTTCTTTGGTGGTGCACCAACACCTGTGGTGCGGTGAACTCTCTTGTGTGGCTTTTGCCCTTGGTTGTTTTGGGGAAACAACTTAGAGGATTTTCTGCGTGTCTTAATTATCTAGTGCTGCTATAACAGAAATACCACAAATGGTTGACTTTAACAAGCAGAAATTTATTTTCTCACTGTCTAAGAGTCTAGAAGTCCAAATTTAGGGCACTGCCTCTAGGGAAAGGCTCTCTCTGTCTGCTCTGGGTGAGGGTCTTTGTTTCTTTTCGTCTTCTGTTCCTTGGCTCCTTGGTGATCTTCATGTGACATGGCATCTGTCTTCCCCCATCTTTCCTTGTGCTTTATTCCTTGCTTGCTTAATCTGCTCTTTTGTATCTCAAAAGAGATTAAGACACACCCTAAACTAATATTGTCTTATTGCTAGAACAAAGGAAACCCATTCCCAGATGGGTTATAACTACAGACATAGGGATTAGAATTTACAGCACATATTTTTGGGGGACATAATTTAATCCATAACACTGGGTAATTGACTACCCCTGAAACTTTGTTACCTTTGTCCTAGTCTGGCTAGGAATCCTGCCCGGTAACTGACAGAGAGCCCACCCAGAGCACATGGTTGTTATTGTTAGTTGTCTTCCAGTCAGTTCTGACTCATGGTGACCCCATGTGTGTAGAGTAGAACTGTTCTATAGGGTTTTCAAGGTTGTGACCTTTTGGAAGCAGATCGTCAGACCTGTCTTACGGGGGGCACCTCTGATTCCAACCACCAACCTTTTGGCTAGTAGTTGACCACTTACTTTTTTGCGCCACCCACAGACTCTTGGAGCAAGTGGACTGGCTTATAAAATGCCTGAAACGTGGGCTCAGGTTGGGCTTCAGGCTTGATGAGATTAAGGAGGGATGGTACATCCTTTGGAATGTGGAAGTCCTGCACTTACAACCTTCACAGAGTCGGTTGAGAGCTGCTACCCTGATGAAGAGCTACAGTAATGAGAGCGGGGCTTGCCCAGAAGGAACAGTGGTGCACAGAGGGCATGTGGCGGTGCCTAACCAAGAGACAGTGCAAGGCGACACCCAGCTGATAGAATGAGGTGGTGCCCAGCTGAGAGACGTCATGGAACATTTCCTTTTTGAAAAGTTTGCTGGTTGGTCAGAGTGAACAGCTGTTCTTGGGAGGGTAAGTGTTTCCCCTTGAGGTGTTCGTGCTCTGTGCTGGACCCCCTCCTGGACCTCGCCCTACGCATATCTTTAGTTGTATTCCTTACTGTTATATTAAAACTGTTAGCACAAGTATGGTGTTTCCAGTGAGCTGTTAGTTGTTCCAGTGAATAATTAGACTTTAAGGGAGTGGTGGAGCCGGCAGGCCTGATGTGCCAGGAGTTGTGTGGACCCCTGTGCTTGAGGCTAGTACTTGTTGACCTAGCTCTTGGTGGGTAGGGATGCGAGAGAAGGGTTGTATGGACAGCTAGGGTCTGAACCGGCCAAAGAAGGGAAGCTGAGATTTCCAAACGATGTGTGTGGAATGGTATATTTTACCCACCACACAATCTGGCAGCAAAGATCGGCAATCTTCGTCTCCTGGGCTAGTTTGTGCAATGGGCACTGTGAGCAGGATAGAATAGGACTGCAGATTCCTACTCCATGCATTGTGTAACATGGGAGTGGGTTGGATCATCTGAGATTGTTATTCAGAAGTACTGTGAAAGGGGTAGACAGATGCTCTCTCTGAACCCCAGTCCTCCACAGGGACCATATCTCAGTCTTGCAGGCATGAACAGAGCACATGTCACCTTATCAGGGACCTCACAAATTCTTACCCGTTTGCATAACTCCAATATCTTCTATTTTTCTCCTTTTTCCAGACTCTCTCTGTAGTCTGGAAATGGAGAAAAAATTTGGCTCTTCTTGATTTTGCATTCTCCTGATTGTATAGTTTTGCTTCTGCATCTTACTTTTGAAGTAAACATTTCTAGAGCCTGAAATTTCACCCTCCTTTTCTCCTCTGACAACATACTCTTTTGATGATGGACAAGTTCTGGTGGACTTTCACATGGTGGGAGGGGGGTTACTGGGTAACAGAAAATTCTTAAAGGAGAACACTTTGATTCATATGTTATAGTATCATCCTGCTATATACAGATGTGCCCATTGAAGCCACAGGGTACAATGAGCATGTCCTGGGATGCTGAGATAGAAAGTATCATGAGAGCCTGACTGATAAGTGGTTCCAGATGTTACTGGTTTTTGTGGAGTGTCACAACATCTCTCAGGGGCAGCGTGGCAGTCTTGAGCAGATATCATCCCCTTAGTGCCGCCAATCCAAGGTACTGGAATTTATCCTTGCGAGAATGTTGTCCAAGTTCATAGCTGTCGTCCAAACTATTGTTCACTCTACATTAGTCATCCCATGTGTGTGCAATTGTTCATTCTTCTTCAATAAATATGATTTTGACGCATCATACTGAAAGAGCTTTTGAAGGTGAGTGATGCCTATGTTTTTTAACGCTACTGTAATTTAAGCATTTAAGCCACTACTTCATTCATCTTAAACATTTCCTTGTAGTATGAATGAACTGGTTTGTTTATTTAATCATCAGTTACATAATTTTGATGATATTCGTAGTATTTTGTATTTTATGTTTGTAATTTGTTGGTCTCTGAGATCAAGGAAAGAGTATTATCAATTCTACAAGAAGATTTCCTTCTTGAGTGTTGGTGGTTTTGACTTAGCAGCCATTTTTCAAAAACCTCCAGGATTTTGTGAAAAGATGGTATTGGTTATTTCTTTTACTTTTGTTTTTACCTGAATTAGTACCTACTGTGGGAGCCCTGGTGGTGCAGTGGGTAAGAACTTGGTTGCTAACCAAAAGGTTGGCAATTCGAATCCACCAGCCACTCCTTGGAAACCCTATGGGGCATTTCTACTCTGTCCTGTAGGGCCGCTATGAGTCAGAATCAACTCGACGGCAACAGGTTTGGTTTTGGTATTAAGTTCACATTTCCCATTTAAGTTAATTGGATTTTTCAAGATGAGAATTTTAGATATCTTAAAAATGTACTTTTATAAAATTAAGTTACTGTCTTAATATGAATAAAATTTTTGAGTTGATTTGCAATCATTTGTCATATAAAATTGCTTTTCCTGTAGTATGCCGTAAGTTTTTTAAACATAACTTGTTGATGTGTAAATTTCACTGAATTTGTATTTTTTTGGTACAAATGCTTTATTTTATTACTTACTCTTTCTGTCTAGATTCATCATGTACGTCTTAGTATATCAGACTAATATTTAAAGATCTTCTATTTTATAGGAACTTAGCCAATTTCTTGCACTTCATGTACCTTTTCACCACTGTTGCTTATAACACTTGCATTTTCCACAAAATTTCTAAAGGTCTGGAAATTACATTCTTCATTTAACATATGAAGATGGACTTGCTCCTCGTCATCCTTTAAAACTACATTTCGTATAGCATTCACCTGTTCCTTGTTGATTCAGATCCTGTTGCTGTCCAGTTCTCTGGTCATTTTTGGCTGCTTTGTTGCTAACCACCTCTCTGTATAATAGACTCCTCCACGGGTCTCTGTGGAACTGCCAGCATTTGTTTTGACACTAAACTGCTGCTGATAACACCATCCTTCTGTACAAGCCATTCTCCATTCTTGGTCATTTAGTTATTTGCCTCTTACGATTGCTTAGAGAGCTGTGGTGGTTCAGTGGTAGAATTCTGGCCTTGCATGCTGGAGACCTGGGTTCGATCCCCAGCCAGTGCACCTCAAGTGCAGTTATCACTCATCTGTCAATGGAGGCTTGCATATTGCTGTGATGCTAAACCAGTTTCAGTGGAGCCTCCATACTAAGACTAGGAAGAAAGGCCTGGCCGTCTACTTCTGAAAATCAGCCAGTGAAAACCCTGTGGATTACAATGGTCTGATTCTATTGTGCATGAGGTTGCCATCAGTCAGGCAGGGGCCAATCTGACAGTGGCTAACAACAGCAAAAACAAGCTTAATTATGCTGTTTATATTTATGAATTCATAATTTCTTAATTTCAGATAAGTGCACATTAATTTCCATTGATTCATAATTATAATTGTATATATACTAGTACAAATCGGAGCATCCCTCACTTCATTTCTCTTTTATTGCAGAGGTTGTGTAAGAGATCCAAACATACGATTTCACATAATTCAAGCGGGCTTCCCTGAAAGTAATTCATGTAATCACTCTTTCTTTAATAAGGAATCCTATTAACTTTGTGTCATAAACATTTGAAGATTATAATTAAGAAGTTTCACAACTCTTTTCATTATAAGTATTATTTTTAGAGTAATATTAAGTTTTTCAATTTAAAATATTTTCTAACTGTAGCTAATAGGAAGCCTATGGTTCTTTATGTCTTTTAGATGTCTCTCCTACATGTGTGATTGAGGAATTATCACCAAAAGAGATCATTAAGAAAGGAGAATTATTGCAGACTGTGATGTTAGAAACACATGAATGCCGTGGCATCGAGGATTTTGACTTCAGGCAAGTCAGGGAAAGTATGCATGAGTTTGAGAATCAGTGGGGAAATGATGAAACAAATGACAAAGAAGTGACTATGACCTATAACAAAGATCTCACTGTAAGAATGGAACCATATGTTATAAGAGAAGAAGGAAACGAGTATATGACATGTTTTGAAGATAAGATTGGACTCAACTTTCAGTCCTATCTGCCTGAACTGCACACATTTCAAACTGGAGATAAAATGTACGAATATAAGCAAGTAGAGAAGTCTACCAACAATGATTCTTCAGTTTCACCATTTCAGAGAAATCCTCCTAGTATCAAAACCAACATCTTTAGTGAATATGGGGAGGTTTTTATGCATCCTTCATTACTTACACAACATCAGCAAACTCCTATTACAAAACAACTTTACAACTATACTGAATGTGGAGTGGATTTTAGCCAAAGGTCAATGTTTACTAATCTTCAGGGAATTCATTCTGTGCAGAGACTTTATAAAGGTAATGAATGTGACAAAGCCTTTAAATGTGGATCAAACATCACTAATACGGGAGAGACACCATATAAATGTGAGGTATGTGGCAAGTTCTTTCGTCAAAATTCAAACCTTGCAAATCATCTGAGAATTCATACTGGAGAGAAACCTTACAAATGCAGTGAATGTGGCAAAGCCTTTAGGTGGCGCTCAGTTCTTACTAAACATCAGAGAATCCATACTGGAGAGAAACCATACGAATGTATTGTGTGTGGCAAGGCTTTTATCCAGAGAGCAAACCTTGTGAAACATCACCGCATTCATACTGGAGAGAAACCTTACAAATGTAATGAATGTGGTAAGGCTTTTATCAATAATTCAAGCCTTGTGGAACATCAGAGAATTCATACTGGAGAGAAACCTTACAAATGTAATGATTGTGGCAGAGCCTTTAAGTGGGGCTCAAATCTCACTAGCCATCAGAGAACCCATAATGGAGAGAAATTATTTAAATGTAATGTATGTGGCAAGTTCTTTAGTCAAAATTCAAGCCTCATAACTCATTATAGAATTCATACTGGAGAGAAACCTTACGAATGTAATTATTGTGGTAAGGCTTTTATCCATAATTCAAGTCTTGTGGAACATCAGAGAATTCATACTGGAGAGAAACCTTACAAATGTAATGAGTGTAGCAAAACCTTTAAGTGGGGATCAGTCTTTGCTAAACATCAGAGAATCCATACCGGAGAGAAGCCTTATAAATGTAATGTATGTGGTAAGCTCTTTACTCAGAGTTCAAGCCTTACAACTCATTATAGAATTCATACCGGAGAGAAACCTTATGAATGTAATGAATGTGGCCAGGCTTTTATTCATAGTTCAAGCCTTGTATATCATCAGAAAATTCATATTGGAGAGAAACATTACAAACGTATTGAACGTGCCCAGGCTTTTGCCCAAAGTACAAGCTTTATGGAGCATCAAAGAATTCATTCTGGACAGGGACCTTACAAATGTGATGAATGTGGTAAGGAATTCATGCATTCATACCAGTCAGTTCATGAGAGAATTCATACTGGAGAGAAAATGTCCAAATGTAACGAGTGTTGGAAAGCCTTAAATGTAGCCCACTTCTCACTAGATATCAGAGAATCCATTATGGAGCAAAATTATATAGATGTGAAGTATGTGGCAGACTCCGTGAGTGGTGCAAACAGTTAACTGCCCAGCTGCTAACTGAAAGGTTGGAGGTTCGAGTCTACCCAGAGGCAACTTAGAAGAGAGGCCTGCTAATCTACTTCTGAAAAATCGGTGATTGAATACCCTGTGGAGCACAGTTCTACTCTGACACACGTGAGGTCTCCATGACTCAAAGTTGACTTGATGGCAACTGGTAATGTATGTGGCAAAGTCTTTATTCAAAGTTCAAACTTTACTAATCATATTATTTAAATTTGTTCCTCCTGTTATTCTTGCATCTACTTCATCCTAATTTATATATTTAATTTACATTTCTTCCTGTGTCTTTCCATGGAAAAATATAGAGAATACATAAAATAAGGGGTTCTTTTTAGAGTTGTAATATGAAAATGCATATAGGGCCATGATAAATTCAAAGTACATGCTATATAAATAGTAACAAAGCTCGTCCCTCTAAGTCTTTAGTTCAGTGAATTAATGTAAAAAGATGACTGTTCATGAATTTTCCCTTAAGAACGAACGTACACAACGGAAATTTCTTTAATACTGGTACATAAACAAGTAATTTTATATATTCACCTCTCAAATCATTCTTGTTAATTTCCAGTGGAGGCCAGTCCATAGGAACAGGACAGACTCTGATTTTCCTACGACTGCCTTAAAAAAGTACTGCAAACTGAGTGGCTGAAAACCACAAAAAATTATTCTCAATTCTGAAAGAAGTCCAAAATCATGGTATCGGCAGGGTTGGATCCTCTAGCGGGTCACAGACTCTAGGTGAGAGTCTGTTCCCTGCCTCTCCTAGCTTCTGGTTATGGCCAGTAATCTGGCATTCCTTTGCTTGTATATGGATCATTTCATTCTGTGCCTCGATCTTCGCATGGTGATCCCCATGTATATCTCTCTGTGTCCCTTGTCGTCTTATAAGGACACCAGCCATAACAAGATTAGGGTCTACCCTTATGATCTTAACTAATTACATCTGCAGTGACACTATTTCCAACCATCTTGGTTATCTAGTGCTGCTATAACAGAAATACCACAAGTGGATGGCTTCAACAAACAGAAGTTTATTCTCTCACAGTCTAGGAAGCTAGAAGCCCAAATTCAGGGCGTCAGCTCCAGGGGAAGGCTTTCTCTTTCGGCTATATAAGGAAGGTCCTTGTCGTCAATCTTCCCTGGACTAGGAGCCTCTCTGCGCAGGAACCCCAGGGCCAAAGGACATGCTCTGCTCCCAGTGCTGCTTTCTTGATGGTATGCGGTCCCCCACTCTCTGCTTGCTTCCCTTTCCTTTTATCTCTTGTAAGATAAAAGGTGGTACAGTCTACAACCCAGAGAAACTCCCTTTACATTGGATCAGGGATGTGACCTGAGTAAGGGTGTTACATCCCACCCTAATCCTCTTTAACATAATCTAATCTTGCCTCATTAACCACAGGCAGAGATTAGGATTTATAACACATAGGAAAATTACATCTATCACAAAATGGAAGACAACCACACAATACTGGGAGTCATGGCCTAACCAAGTTGACACATATTTTGTGGGGACACAATTCAATCCATGACATTCTACCCTTTGGCCCTCAAAAATTCATGTCCTTGAAATATGCAAAACATATTCACCCATCATATCATAGCAAAAGTGTTAACTCCAAGTCCAAAATCCAAAAATTCCTCTTCATCTGTGAAATCTAGAATACAAGTTATCTGCTTCCAAAGGTACAATGGCAGAACAGACACAAACTAGACATTTCCATTACAAGTGGGGAAACGAGGGAAAGAACTGCAAGTCAGCAGAACACATTACATTAGCCCTCAAGTCTTTGAAAATAATCCTCTATTTTCTGAGACAATTTACACAATGGCCCTGCCCTCCAGACTCTAGGTATTAGCCACACTTTCCCAATTCTGAGTGGAGGCCCCTTGGCCCTGGGCTTCAACTCCACCTTCCAGGCCCACTGGACGACAACTCTGCTCCCTCGGCTTTAGGTGCACCATTCTCCCAGTCCATCTAAGTGGCAACTCCACCCTTAGAAACACCAGAGGCCATGGCTCCACCCTTTGAAACCCCAGAGGTGGTGGCCATACCTTTTGAGACTGAGGCAGCTCGGCTTCTTGTGTTCCTTGTCTCTTCAGCTTCTGCTTCCTGGTTCCTTGGCCTCTCAGGCCTCACGCCCACATCTGCCCTGCTGGGGTAAGTGTTCCAAAGTTCTGTAGCTCCACTGATAAGTGCCTGGAGGCACTCCACTCTGCCAGTAAACTTCAGCCAGAAGGCACTCAGCTCTCTTGCTCCGTGGGTCGGCAAGCCTAGCTCCACTGATAAGTGCCCGGAGGAACCCCACTCCACCAGGAAGCCTCCTGCACAAAAGCACTCAGCTCTCTTGCTCTATGAGTTGGCAAGTCTAGCTCCACTGATAAGTGCTCAGAGGCACCCTACTCCACCAGGAAGCCTCTTGCGCAGACACTCAGCAGTCTCCATGAGTCGGCTCCAGTGTTGTGTGGCACTGGTCTCATGGTTCCACTGCTGCCAGTTCTGTGTCACTGCAGGTTCTCTGCCCGTTCACAGTTTTTAAACTGCTTCCACATTTTAGGTATCTGTTAGAGCAGCACCCCACTCCCGGTACCAAATTCTGTCTTAGTTATTTAGTGTCGCTATAACAGAAATACAAGTAGATGGCTTCACCAAACAGAAGTTTATTCTCTCACAGTCTAGGAGACTAGAAGCCCAAATTCAGGGCATCAGCTCCAGGGGAAGGCTTTCTCTGTCGGCTCTGGAGGAAGGTGATTATCATCAATCTTCCCCTGGACTAGGAACTTCTTTGCACAGGAACCCCGGGGCCAAAGGACACACTCAGTTCCAGGTGCTGCTTTCTTGGTGGTATGAAGTCCCCCACTCTCTGCTCACTTCCCTTTCCTTTTATCTCTTGTAAGATAAAAGTTACAGGTCACATCCCAGGGAAACTCCCTGTACATTGGATCAGGGATGTGACCTGGGTAGGGGTGTTACATCCCACCCTAATCCTCTTTAACATAATCTAATCTTGCCTCATTAACCACAGGCAGAGATTAGAAATTACAACACATAGGACAATTACATCTATCACAAAATGGAGGACAACCACACAATACTGGGAATCATGGCCTAACCAAGTTGATGCATATTTTGGGGGGACACAATCAATGACACCAGTTGAGGTCACATTCATAGATACTGGCAGTTAAGACTTGAACATATCTTCTTGAGATCACAATTCAATATACAACGGAATCCCCATCAAAATTTGTTGTGAATACTGATTAATGATTCCACACACCATGGGGTTTGAAAATGTTTATTACAAAATGAGAGCAGGGAAGGGTGATTTGCTTGGCTTTTTATGATGGTTAGGGAGTGGGATTAATGTGAGGGTACATCCATGTGAATTGAACTTCCTGGTGATGCCAAAATGAACACCACTTGGGCTTTTTCATTAGTTTGCCCAGGTATGGAGCAGAAGTGGAGGAGGAATGGATGAGACTTAAAAGCTGTCAATAGTCAGACATCAAAAACAGAGTCAGGTTCTTTAATACAACACTGAATGTTTACTCTTGAAGCTCCTGACTCCTTGGTTGGGAAAAACTACAATTTTCTTTATGACAGTAGCTTATACGTGACCTTTCCTGCTGCACACATTGGCCCCTCTGCACAATATGATTGTTGAAAGTGCTTGTAAAATACTGTTTAGATAAATTGCCTAAGATACTTTTATAGTTTCATGAAAATTAACATCTGGAAGTATTTATTAAGTTATACGTGTAATCAGTAATTGTACTAGAAAAGCAATTTTTCAAAGGTTATGAATATATCAATTTGAGATTATTAGGGAATATGTTACAAGCTTTTTTTTTTTTTTTTCAGTTCCTGCCTTCAAGTAGTTTATATTCTACTAAGTTAAGTCAGCAATAATTGAATAAAATATATGATAATAATTACAATGAAAGTATACATTTTAGGGGACAAAGTGACGGTATACTAATTTAAGAAGTTTGTTCAAGGTATGCATGTATGATAAAGGTTATATTTGAACAGAACACTGAAATGATTGTAAGATTGGGCCAGGCGGATACAAGGTGGGAAAGGCGAGAAGGCTTGCTCCTGGTCAAAATCTTCTAATCATTCAGGCCCTACCGTAGGCGATGACATGGCTTTGCCAGGCAGGCCTATTGGGAAGCTTCCCTCCTCTCATCATACTTGGTACACAGGCAGTGCATTGCCATTTTCTGGAGGGAGTTGCAGTCAAGGACTCAGCCTTTCACCTCCAGAGCAGCTATGCTGATACATATTTCTATGGTACCTCAGCTGGGGCTTCTTTACTGGGGGCCTTGGCTGAAGTATTTTTCTAAACTTGGTTGTTTGCACTGTCCCGGTAAGTAAATAAAGGCTTAATTTTTACTCGTGTTTTGGCTCATTATCCCAGTTGACCACCTCAATGCCTGATTGCTCAACAAAAGGCAATTGGGTCGAGGGGACACAGAAGGAGAAGATTCCCAGGATGGGAACATACTTCACAATACTTGAAGAATATCCTGTATTGGTGTGTATATTGGTGAGGAGTGTGGTACTAAGTTTCTATTGAAGACATTTAAAATTTGAGATTTCTGATAGTTGCCACTTTTTGTTATTTTAGGACTTAATACTCAAGACCTATGTAAACCTGCTGTGTATATTTTTGCTTGTTTCTTCTTTTTAACAAAAACACAAACAGCCCTAGAAAGTTTAACATAAGTAGTAGACCTGTTATCATGGTGACCCATATGGGGAATGCACGGACAAGTTCATTTAGGGCAGCCTCAGTATGTCAGGAGGACTTTGGGGTAGGAGTGGGGATAATGAACTAATGGGAAGAAAATAAATGTCATTTATCAATGCTGTATGAGGGATTTGATCCCAGTTCTCAAAGGACTTGTTAAGCCTGTGGTAACAGATTGCTTTATGCAGGAATGATGGCCTAGTCACACTAGTAGTGATTCAGCTCAGATCCTGTGTCTGCTTTGAAGTATTTCTTCTTATGCTCTTGAGAGTCTCTGTGATCTGTTATTATTTGTACTCCTTGGGTGGGCAGTGGTGATTAGTGCTGAAGCATATGTGGCCTGAGCCTGCATGCCCAGGTTCAAATCCTGGCTCTCACATTTAATTTCTGTATGAATTAGTGTTGAATACTTCAACCTTGTATGCTTTCTCTCCTCATGTGAAAAATGGTTGTAATTTATCTAAAAGAATATTTGAAAATGTTAGTCTGTTTTAGAGTGCTTAGAGTATTATTTGACATATAATAAAGATTCAGATCCTTCAGAAGAAAATTACATGTTCACCGTAAGTGTTTTGCACACTTGGAGACTTGAATCAGGTTGTGTCAATTACCAGTTACTGAAAAAGCATACTGATACAGTAATGGTGGATATATTACATTATGCAATATTAAAACCCATGGAACTTTATACCACAAAGAGTCAACCTTAATGT